CTGATCACATTAATAAAAAAGATGTGGTAAAATTTCAACCACTAATTTATTGGGTAGTTTAATATTTTTGCATGCTCAAGTCTCTGATTCACAGCTAGTTACTTTTAGCCATTTCAGCCTTTAAATTGTATAAAGAGTACATTGTGAAGACAACATATCTTGCATGAAAATGTTGTAGTAATGTTGTTATCAACATTCTGATCTATTCATGTATTCCCACCCTCCATTCACCCCCTAAAAAATGTTGTTTTTTTCAGAATGAATTTAAAGTCTCAGAGCAGACAATGACTATGAAGTCTTTTATAAAAGCTTTGAATGAAGGACGTGTAAGTAACACTATTTGTCCCTTATGCCAAATATTGGCTAGGAAAAAGTCAACTTTACCATAGGAAGCAATCAAGTGGTGTTGTTTTTTTTCTTCATATAAAGGTTAAAGAAGTATTTGGTGCTGGCACTGCCTGTGTTGTATGCCCAGTCAGTAAAATCCTCTACCTTGACCAAGAACTGCTGATTAAGACAGACACAGAAAATAGTCTGACACAGAGATTTTTTAGTGAGATCACTGACATACATGTAAGAAAATTTTTGTACCCTTGTTAGTTTTTCATGCCCCATTTCAGTATACTGAAAACAAAGAATTTTTACAATTGTTTCTTTTTAAATTTGAAAATGAAGTTTCCAACTGGCTCTAGAAAGTCTGTTTTACTTAGTGACGTTACATATCTTTTTTTTTATTTTTGAGAAATCTGTTCTCTTATTACTTCTGATTGAGAAAGAATAATTATTAGGCATTGTCTCATAATTCTTCGGCATTGTCTCTAAGTCCAAATACCCAGACCTAGTTGCAACTTGCACATTTTGTCACATCTGATGCAGACAATAGTCTGCCAGCAGTCTATTTAAGTTTTCTTTTACTATCTGTGCCTATCCTTGTCAAGGGCTTTTCAAAAATTAAGTGTGACTGAATGTTGACATGCAGATGAAAATAATTCTACTTTGGTTATTATTGAAAACAGCAGTTGTATCTAAAACCCCTTTTGAGTTCATTACCTAAATGACACAAAACATTCTTGATAACACCATAATGCTTCTCCCTTTTTTCTGATAAAAAATACATTTGTGATTTTTTAAACATATTAATTTAAGCTTATAAACCTTAATCATTGATTTTAATATTGTATTAACAAGTTGTTTTTTTTAGCTTTATTCACATTTGACTTGCATTTTTTTTGTTTGTACATCATCAAAAATATTTTTTTCCTTTCCCAGTATTATCGTAAACCACACCCTTGGATGGAGGCTATTGACGAGGATGTGGAGGAAACGGTGAGATCAACATCGAGCGCTTACTGAGAAAGAATTTTTTGATTTTGATGACATATATTTAATCGCCCTGATCAGAGATGAAGGGCTTTGAATTTTACTGAATGATTTCAGAGAGACTCACTGTACTGTAATTTTGTTTCATTTTTGATCAACAAATCCAGTTAACTGTAACTTGTTTATTCATGGAGAATTTGTTTTGATTAAATACTAATTTGCCCTTTGATTTAAAATGAAACCTTTTGATATAGTAAAACTTTTCTTTGAATGATTTATCTAACTTCAGTCTGAAAGAGGCAACGTTTGTTTTTGCTTCCGGAGATAACAAACATTGTTTTGTTGCTTTTGATATTAATTGATGCCAGCATATGCATAATGTTAAGTTATTGTGTACAATCATGACAACTGAGTTTTTGTTTTGTTGAAGTATACAGAATCTCATGACAGAATGCTGTAGTGTAAGTATATTTGTATATCTTGATAACTTTTTTTTAAACATCTGTGATGATGGCCCTGAAACTGTATGCTGTTAGTAAATAACGTGGGACTTTTTTGTACCCAATGATGCTGGATCTAGAGATAAGTAAAAATAACAATTGGGTATTCATAATTGTCTTGCCCTAATTGAATTTCATATTTGTTTTCATAATTTAATAAAACACACACAAAAAATGTATGCTAATGTTTCCATACCCTTTCAAGGGCCATAAATATCATAGTATTTATTTCCTAATACCTTTTTTTACTAAAACATGTAGACATTTCTAAATTCACTTTATTAATGACAGCTATTGTAATTTTTTTTGTTTAATTTGTTTTTAATTTAAATTAATTTAATGTCTATTAATTAATTTTTATTAAAAAATATTTTTGTGTCTAACTGTTCCAAATGATGAAAAAGTTACTGAGATAAGAACAATAAGTTGTGGGATCAATTGATTCTTTTGTTACTATTTGAAACCATTGTGGAGACAACAGCATGATCAGACTTTTTTAAATTTATGCAATACCATTTCTTCAAATTTCTTTATTTTCTTAAATTGTTTGTTCTTAGCTTGGCTTAGGAAAACTAAATTAATTGATTTCAAATCATTTTGTTTTAATCAAGTAACAATGTATTGTGTTTTACTTTAATTGTGTTTTAATTAATAATATTCTCTTTCCCGGTACATGTTTAAATAATACCAATGACCATGACTTAATAAAGTTGGAACTAACAAACTGCTGTGCCATTTAAAGACATCCAATTGAATATTTTTTTCACTACTCTCAGGTTTTATATTTCAATTTGTTTTATTCATTATTATTTTGTAAACTTTTTTTTGTTCTAGCTTGTACCAACAGAATCTTCTGTATGATGGTTAAAGGTTAAATTAAAAGGTTATTAATTACAGCAAATATAGATGTATAACTGAAAAGTATTATATATATATATATATATATGAAAATTTACATTTATTTTGAACTGACTCTAAATAACAATGCTAGTAGCAGTCCATTGTTGATAAGATAGACAAATATCAAAGTTGTTTTGTTTATTACTTCTCCCAGTGATGAAAACATTTACGTCCAACTTGATTATTTTTGTTCCAAATGATCTACTTATTGAGAGTAAGGATCTCAGCATATCAACATTGTTTTTGATGATGTGTGGTAGACTCACCTTCTGTTGGCTGTACATATGTGATTGAAACTTTTGGATTCCAGTGCCACATTAAATATAATTTTTTGTTTACATTGTCACAGAATTTTTTTTAGAGTGTTGATGTTTCTATACAAGTGAATTAGATGGCTGCCTGGTCGTGCGGTTTGCACGCTGGACTGTCGTTCGGATTTATCGACGGTCGAGGGTTCAAACCCTGCCCGCTCCCATCCCCCGTCGTCCTGCGGGAGGTTTGGACTAGGAAGTAAACTATCTTCAACTCTGAAGGAACATCCGAAACATGTAAAACAAACAAACAAACATCTTTTAGTGGCCCTATAAAAATTAAAGCGTGCAATCAAAAACAGAAATTTCTGATTGAATTCATGCTTTTTGTTTTAATCTTTTCAATTTGGTAACCCATATCTCAATCCATGCACACTCATATTGATTCGCGTTTCCAGCATATTACAGAATGTGGTGTCATGGTAAATGTGTTTTGGGATTTCCCATTTCTTTCCTATATAGCAACTAAAATTTTAAAACAAATGTGGTTACCTGTGTTGATGTAACTTAAGTTATGTAATTCTAAGCTAAGATGAGTGCTGTAGACACTTTATAATTTTTTTTAAATGTGTGAGATATTGTTAACTTATGGATTACTCCTGCTGGAAGTTTAGGTCAGCAATTCATTTTGTTTCCAATGAAACATCATCTACTTAGAATTTGTTTTTAGGACTCAAGCATTTAATTTCAGAAATTTGAAAAATGTGGGCATCTTGGTAAAATTTGAGAACAATTAAAATATATTTCAATTCAAGTGGCACTAATCAGGATGTTTGTTCTTAAACGTTTTAAATTTGAACCAAATTAATTTTTGTATGATAATAAAATTGTTTCAATGACTGATTACTCTTATGAGGATTGCTGTGGGAACAGTAAAACTTATCCACTTTGATTGTTAAACAGTATGATTACTTTGATTCAAAATAAAATGTAAATCCAGTCAATTAGACTTTTGACAGTATTAATTTATCTACTTGTAATAAAAAACGCTTTTTTAAAATGTTTTTTTTTTTAAACAGTTTGAGACTTACACTTAACACAATGTTCCTAAGTATTCACTTTGTTTCATCGCTTAATAGACCTTCATATTTTGCTTAGGTTTTATATTGGTTCATTGTTTGTTCAATATTGTTACTGTTTGGTCAACAAATAAATTGTAAAAGAATTTTTTTTTTTTATTTGCCTTGAAATAATACACAGCTTTGATGTTAGTTGTTCACTTAACAATTTTTTTCTTTATTGTTCTACAGTTTCACTTTAGGCTTTTACTTTTCAAATATTTTTTTTGAAACAGTCCCATGTTCTGTTCACTTGGCACTTACTAGACATCCATTTACTTGACATCTCTTGACTTTGGGAGTGGCACTATTTCTTCTTTCTAGTTTGTTGTTCTCTCAGACTGTGCCACAAGTATCTACAAAACGAATGCCATCTCTTAATGCACACTAAATACAAGTGTGAATGTTTCTTTTGACTAGAGTGCAGGCCCCATGACAGTTTCTTAAGACTAGAGTCTCATTTTGCAGGCCCCATGACATTGCTTGCTATGATCTATTTCATTGTTTGTACAAAACATTTGGTCACTGTTTTAAAAGAAAGTCACTCTGGAAAAGTGAATAATTTCTCCCCATTTTGTTTCCTACAATAAACAAAACCAATATGTTCTGTTTAGTGCATTAGTCTATGAAATGCAAATATTGCCCTAAAAATGTATGATCATTACTCACTTTGAATATTTGAATTTCTGTTGTTAATGCTGGGATGTTTCCCTTAGCACTATAAACCTGAATGCTTTTTATGTTCTAACCAGAAATTTGATACTTAATATATCTTGACCTGTTGAGACAACTTATGATTAGCTTTATATTATATATAAATATGTACATGATGTAAAAAAAAAGGTTGTATTTGATATAAAGTTATCTATCCACTTAGATCTATATAAAGTTATCCACTTAGATCTATATAAAGTTATCCACTTAGATCTATATAATTTATCCACTTATATCTATATAAAGTTATCCACTTAGATCTATATAAAGTTATCCACTTAGATCTATATAAAGTTATCCACTTAGATCTATATAAAGTTATCCACTTAGATCTATATAAAGTTATCCACTTAGATCTATATAAAGTTATCCACTTAGATCTATATAAAGTTATCCACTTAGATCTATATAAAGTTATCCACTTAGATCTATATAAAGTTATCCACTTAGATCTAGATCCAGTTTTGTGACTTGTTCATTTAACAAAATGTACTAGTATTTACTTCCTAGTTCTGGGTAATACTAAACTCTGTAGCACATAGTTGGATCATTTCACACTTGATTGAAGTCTTAATATCTTGATGTACAGTATTACTCAATAAACTAGTTTGAATAAGATTTTGTTGATTTCTATAACTTTCTGTATGAACTACTTAACAGTGTCAATGTCGCTTCTCTGTTGCCAACTAAATAATAACAAGTAAAATATTCATTTAAATAACAAAATTACCTAGAGAGTTTTGTGTGAGAACACACTCAGAGGCGGTCCCTATCGAATTCACTAGAGAAAAAAAAGATAATACTTTCTTTATACATCTTAAAGAGTGATTATTTTTGCTCTTAATAACTATTGAATGTTTTGAAAAAAAAAAAGCAACATTCGCTAGAAATAAAATTCTTAAATAATGAAGCAAAATAGAAAACACTTTTATTTTCTAGAAAAACGTTTCACAACATTCCATGACTCAATTTTGTTTCTGTCTGTTGTTTAGTTTCTATACAAACAAAATGTCTAGATCTATATTTTAGCATTGAAACTGTAGGCTAATATCTCCCTTTTGTCATTGTAGACGCAACTTTACGAATACCACCCGGTATGTTTCTTTTCAACATGTACTTTATAGTTTTAAACGTGCCTCTCCTGTGCCTCCTGACTTAACGCCGCCTCTACTTTTTATAGACGCCTCTTAAATAGGCCTACACCACTGCATCTTCTTGGTTTAGTTCAGAAATATATTTAGGCCTACTTTTTTTGGTCCTATTCAGATCAAACGAATATCTTCAATTTCTGGCCATCAATTTATCTCGGTAGATTTAACTAATGGTCGTCTGGTATAGTATTACTGACTCATTAGCATAAATGTTATTATGCTCTGTTATCTATTAGATGTAGAGAGTGAGAAGTATATGGTGTCGGAGAGATCAAATGAAGTCACATTACATTGACCAAAAGGTTCACTCATTACATGCATGAGATTCGCAGTGTGTGTGAGCACAGAAATTGTTCAAGTGAGATTTCAAGATTGTTGAAGAGAGAGTTTCTTGTGAGTTTGAAGCTAGACATATTTCGCTTTTTTTTTAAATAAATGTACCAGTTCACAATTTTTTTTACACGACATTTGGTGTTGAGTTTATTTTTTGAAAGACTTTTTCTTGAACCATTTCATTAAAATTGTAGCTCGTGTCGCTGTAGCGACGTATCAAACGTGTAGAGACGTATCAAACGCTGTAATCTTAACTTGCTACGTCACTTACCGCATTTCAGTTTGGAATTCCCAGACTGGAATCTACTCTTACAAGTTACAGATGTTACTTCAAAAAAGATGATTACGTCTTACCTGTGTACCTGTGTCAATCTATTAATGCATGTTAATCAGTGACTTAAATTTTGCTAAGGCGTTGGTTTTTCTGGCTGATTCATGCGATCTATTCCATGCTCTGATAGTACTAGGAAAGAAGGACCATCTGTACATATTTGTCCTAGCATATGGAATAAGAATTGTACCTTTATCTTTGTGTCTTTCTTAGTATTTTTTATTAGGTTTTAGTTTGTATTTGTATATTATGGTTCAGTGTTTTATGTATAATTGCTACTTTACTTTTTGAGTCTTCTATCTTGAAGCGTTTCTACATTTGTTGGTTTTACTAAAGGTGTTTCTCTAATCAAATGTGAATATTCGATTGTTACAAATCTCACGGCTATATCATGCGTCTGTTTCATTTTCTTTGTTTTCTTGGCGTTGAGGGGCACTTGGCCTAACCAATTTTAACTAAAATTTAAGTTGGATATTCTTGTTTAATTTGGACAAATCTCTTGAATAAACCATACTGTATTATTTGATTGCAAAACTAATTTCGTCAATATGAGGATCCCATGATATAAGTGACATAATATAATATAAAATGTACACTTGACCGTTGGTAAATCTTTAATAAGTATGTTTTTAAAACAAATTGTGTTAATACTTCAGACTGACTTGAAGATGACACAAATCATCTAGTGACTGAAAGATTGAACCTGACGTATTTAGCTGTATCTAGATTGTTTGTTTTACAGTCTACTTAATGTGGAAATGTTGGTTTTCTTGTAGATTCTACATAACAATCATTCTCAGGAGACTATGGATACGCCCAGTTAGTTTCTCTCTTAAGGCACACGCCTTGGCTGAGATATAAGGATAATGAATTGCGGCTGTTACCCATGTATCAGGATATCTGTCTGTCGTCTCGGCGGTTCGAGTCCTTGTCGTCCCAAACGAGTTGTTGTCTAAGACTTTGTTCAACATTTGACAGAAACTCTGTTACAATAGCTACATTAAGGAATACCAACTCGCCCTTTCACTCTTGAGGGTTTGGAGTTCCACTCAACCTGATCAGCTCTATCTACACATTTGTCTTTATAATGAACACACTTGTTAATAAGAACAGCAGTTACAAAGCCCCGTTTAAACATATTGTTTTCCCATGTTCGTCTGCAGGCAGATGTCGCTGTACACGCAAGTAGCTCGCCAGTCTAGAAATCAGTTCATCCGCCATCTGTCTTCCTTCAGGGTAAAGCGTCAGTCTCGTTATAAATGTATACTTTCTAAAGACTATGTACTCATGACTCATGATATAGAACTTATTTCAATTGACATGTTGACGTCCAGTAGCCAGTACTTCACGATCTCATTGCAAAAGATGTTTACCGTTTAGCCAGATTGATTCGTATTTAGTAGGACATGTAGTATAACATGTTGACGTCCAGTAGCCAGTACTTCACGATCTCATTGCAAAAGATGTTTACCGTTTAGCCAGATTGATTCAGTAGGACATGTAGTATAACATGTTGACCAGGAAGTTACTTAGAACATATGTGAACCATAGATCAGTTCCTCGTCTGGTTAAGGATGATTCAATTTTTAAAAATATATATATATAACGGTCAAACCAGAGTTTTCACTGTGTGGCCAATTAGCTACTATTTTTTTCCCCAAAGATATACATAAACAGTCAATCTTCTAGGAAAATTGTTTTCGAAATACCCGTCTAGTGTCCAGGTCCCAGTTTCCACATATGAAGAGTTAGCAATAAGAGGACTTTTAAAACAACGAGCGTGAACTTTTAGTGAAACATTTGTTATTACCCTTTCCCCGTCTGCTAAAAAACCTCCCATATAACTGCTAGATCTAGAAAGTGTTCACACGTAAAGATGTTTGCATGTTAATTAATAGAACACGAGACGGGCATGAAAAGGTTACTCGAATAACTGATGACTACATTACGCCGACATAAAATAAATGCTTACACATCAACAATTGAAGACATTAGTACACTACTGATCCACAGTTCTCCATCTATTCAGCAATTGCACAAGCTGGATCACGCTGACATTTTACTGCACGGTAACATCTTCTCAATCAATCGATAGTAAAAAAAAAAAAAAAAAAAAAAAAAAAACACACACACTCTGACATCTATCTAAATTTCATAAATAAGCCAAATAGTTTTAGGCTAAAAAAAAAACAACAAACAAAATATAAACAATACTTTAAAAAACAACAACAAAACTTATCTAAGATGAAAACCCCCAAATTTACAGACATACCTCTCAATGTTGTAAGAATTATTTACCTTTTTGATAACACAAAATTAATTAATTACCTATATTTAATTAACTAATTTATTAATCTTTTAAAAATCGCAACTCGGTGAAGACGGAGATTTTAAAATCCGGGATTTTTAGGGCCGCCCCTGAGTCCACCCAAACTTGAATGGGTACCTTAGTTTAGTTGGGAAAAAGTAAAGGCTGATGGTTGTTGTGCTGGCCACATGACACCCTGCTCGTTAACCGTAGCCATAGAAACAGATGACCATAACATCATCTGCCCCATAGATCGCAATGTCTGAAACGGAAACTTTACTTCTTTAACTTTTTTTCCGCGTATGTCAGTTAATGTGATATTTCAATAATTAAATTATTTATTTTTTAATGTAACACTGTCCTCAAAGTATCCTCGAAAATGTCTTTCACTTGTGCGTACAACGGACCAACCGAGACCAGTCGTTAGAGAAGGCCTCAACACTGACCTGTGACGTGGCAACCAGCTATTGGTTCCACTGCCCACAGGTTGTGAAGTTGCAGGTTAGTGTTGAGGCCTTCTCTAACGTTAAATGTTTCAACAGTATGAAGATTTGCAGGTCACAATGACCAAAACTCCAGCCCTGAAACCAGACGAGAAAATCATCAAATTTGGTTCTCATTTTTCGGACCACATGCTAGAAATCAATTGGTCCGCAGAGAATGGTTGGGGAGTTCCAAAGATCAAACCAACGACCTCATTTCAGATGCACCCAGCTTCCAAAGTTTTGCAATATGCTTCTCAGGTTAGTCAAGTTACAATTGACCATAGACTGTCTACATTGTTAGAGTGCAAGGCATAAAAAAAAAAAAGAGGAAACGGATAATTTCATGGATAGACATTGCGATTGACCCCAAAGTAGTTTGTTTAAACTAACGGAGTTCACAAATTCATAACGCTCTAATTGCTCTATTAACTTTTACAACTTGGTCCCCCGTGAAAGTTGGGTTCCAATACATTTACTCGTTTGACTCAAACTTTGCATGCCTCATGAGCTTACTGGTTTCCTTGAATCTTCAATCAATGTAAATTATTAATCCACTTTAATCACTCTACTCATTGTTTCAGTAATTATAAAAGCTTCCCGTTGAACAGTGTTACTCAAAAAGTGAATGTTTGGTGTTGGTTGTGGGGGGGGGGGGGGGGGCGGGTCGACGTTCTGACAAATTAGGATGGAAGAGCCTATCAAATTTTTTTTTTTCAAGGAAAAAAAAAAAGCCTGTAGTTATATGTTCTTGGCTGAATGTCAACCAACTAAAATGACCAATATTTAAACATTA